ACTAGCCAGAATCACAGTTTACCTAAATTAGAACTTGATGGCAAGAGAGTGGAAAGATACCTAATGATCTCTGTTGGTCTTGGAGGCATGAACTTGAAGCCTTATAATCCTAACCGCGACACTACCCACGTGGGTTGCCTTATGCAGAACAATAGTTTTTCTGTGAATCAGTTTCCATCTCTGTTAAGAAAAGAAAGGGGGGAAAAAGTACCATGGCTCTTAGACCTACTCAGCATAATTGGGAAAATAAAATGAAAGAATGTGTGCGTCTTAAAAAAAAAATTCACGTTCAGCCAGCCCCTGAAGAGGACAGACCTTGCCGCTGAGCCATCTTTAAGATGTGGCTTCTTCAGTTGAACCGTGCCAATGACACTTGAGGGCTTGTCTTTACATAGATCTGGAGCTCTCAGCTTAACTCTAGAAACCAGACCATGGTACCAAAATACTCCAGAACAAGATCATCGATGCAGTTTGCAGTTGCAGAAAAAAGAATAAATTGCCTTTTGCTATTCTCTGTTCTATTGAACTGTGGTCTTCCGAGCTTTCAGCTAAAGGCTAATTATTGATTTGATACACAGTGTATTTTTATATGTGCTCATTTTTAGAAGGAATGCTTTACTTTCTTTTCTTCTCACGGAGTTATTCTTTGTCTCGAAAAATGGAGCATTAGCAAAATCTTAAATCCTACTGTGATAGTACATGGGTAGACCGTTGATGCAGTGTCTTACACAGACCTCGCTCTCCGCAAATAATTGTGTAGGGTACTGGTATTCTGCAGAAGGTCTCTTTTCTCTCCCTTCCCTTCTGTCTCTTTTTTTAACCTGCTTTCAAAGCTCAGGAAAGAAACTGTTAAAATCTGAACACATTCTCATTATGAGAGAAGTTATAGGCCAAGAATTATAAATTGATAGAAGAAAGACACTCCCAAGTTATTCTGTCATCTTTAATTGGGAAGCTGATGGTAAGAGCAAGAATTACAACATGGATCTGACCAATTCTGAGCATAAATTGAAGTGCCCTTACTACGTGTATTACATGTAACTATCCCTGTGTGCTGTTAAATCTTTCTTTTTAACAAGGGAACCAAGTTGCTGAATTTTATTTTTTTAAGTTCAATTATTTTTTAAAGAATTATTTATTTAATTTAATTTATTATTATTATTTTTAAATTTTTCCTGTCGGGCACATGTGCTTACCAGAGACAGATAGTGAGAAAGCAAGTTGCCAGGAGGTCTAGGATTTGAACTCTGATCGTCCATGTGGGAGTCCAGCACCTTAACTACCATGCCACCTGCTGGCCCCAAGTTTAATTATTTCATGAGTGAGAACAAGGCAAGAATCTCAACAGGGTCTCACACCATGACCTCCCAAGCCTTTTCTAGCTAGCTGGGATCACAGGTGCCTTCCTACACTGGGCATACACAGGTCTCCTCTGGAACCGCGTCACGACCGTCGTATGGCTTCCAGCGGTACAGTGTGTTGGTTCTGCTCTGCCCGTGTGGCTGGATCTGAATTGGTTATGACTTTTTATGTCCATAATTTGCCTATCCCAAGAACAACCTTGAGTGGCTTATGATAAAACCCAAAACTAAAAGCACAAACTCTTAGTCCAAATGAAAATGAATTTTTGTGTAAATAGATGCTTAGCTACTTGAAATTTACTTTTTTTTTTTTTTTTAATTTGTGTTTAAGTCATTATTTGTCACATTGCAGTTTGGAGTGGTAGAAGATTCTTTTTTTATTTTTTTGGAGAGTTTTTTTTTCGCTATAGGGCACGTGCGTTCGCCAGACAGACAGAGAGAGACTTAGAGACAGAAAGCGAGAAATCACCCCCCAGGGGGGATGGTCACGCCACAATCCCTTCTCCTCCATTCTCCTCTCGGGATCTTGGGCACGCAAGCACACGCGCCCGGCATGAGTTTTAAGCCACCGGGTCCGGGATGCGAACCGTGGTCAACTACATGGGAGCCCAGGGACATAGCCATTACGCTAACTGCTGGTTCACATCCTTCCAGAAATTCTTGAAGAGCTGGTCAGGTGTTGGTAAATTCTTTCAGATTTTGTTTATCTGAGAATGTTTGTCTTTTCTTCCCATTATGAAGGATAATCTCTCTGGGTATAGGATCTTTGGTTGAAACTTTTTCACTTAACACTTAGAATATATTTTCCCATTCTTTCCTTGATTATCTTTTTTCTGATGAGAGGTCTAACGTTAGCCTGATGGGATAACCTTTATAAGTAACGTGACGTTTCTCTCTTGCCAGTTTTAGTATCTTGTCTTTGTCTGTGGTTTTGACCCGTCTGGTTCTGATGTGCCTTGGAGAAGATCTTCTTGGGCTGATTCTATTAGGGGTCCTTTGTATTTCCTGGGACTGGATCTTCGAATGCCTCTCTAGGTTTGGAAAGTTTTCTTGCAGGATTTCATGGAATAGATTATCAATGCCCTTATTAGTTTTTTCACCTTCTGGTACCGATTATCTGGATGTTTGAGCGCTTAATGGTATCTAGTATTTCTCATATAGTGTTCTCATTTTGGGGGGGTTATTTTCTTAGTTTTTTTGGTTACTTTTTCCAGACCAGAGTTTGTCTTCAACATCCGAGGTTCGATCATCTGCAGGGACTAATCTGCTTTTAATACTTTCAAGGAAGGTTGTGATTTCCTGCATTACAGCCTTCATCTCAAACAGCTCCATTCGATTCTTTTTTATGGTGTGTATTTCCTCTCTCAGATCGTGCAAGAACTTCCTCATGTCCTGGAACTCATGGTCTCTTTTCTCCTGCATCTTCTGGAGTTCATTTTCTCTCCGCTCTTGTATCTCATTTAGTTTTGTCACCATGAATATTCTGAATTCTTTATCAGACATTTCCACAAGTTCCACTGTACTGGCTGGGGATGATGAAGGATTGTTCTTTACCCTTAGGGCGGAGATATTTTCTTGGTTTCTCATATTTCTTGTGCCTCTGTGGTGGTTTCTGGTCATTCTATAACAAAATATTTCCTCTTCTGTGCTTTGCAATATGGTATCCATAGAAAGATTTTTGAGTTCAGATTTACAAAAAGGAGTTTCTTCCTTAAGGCAAGAGGTGCAATAAACGTTGAGGATTGCAATGACTCTGTCTCAGTGTATCAGGGGGTTAGAAGATGAGTGTTTTAGATGAGTTTTAGAGTATAACATCTTCCCTGAATGTGCCAGGACACACGTCAGATTTAAAATGGCTTCTGTCTCTGTGTTTCGGCGGTCTAGAAGATGGGGTTTAGTGCATAGCTTCAGTTCCTTTGGTCCCTGAATGCACCTCAGCCCCTCTTGGGATTTTGGGCATGCACACACATGTGCCGGTCATGAGTTTCAAGTCACCAGGTCTGGAACTTGAACTGCAGTCGGCCATGTGGGAGCCCAGTGACGTAACCATCACGCCATCTGCTAGTCCCCAGTTTTTCCTATGTTAAGATGCTTGTTTTTTCACCTCCATTTTTTTCCCAACACAGAAGTAAAACATTAGGTTCAAAATTCACAAAGTTTAGGATCTAGCCAGTATGTTTAAAGAAACCCAAATGACCTTTGCCCATGTGGACAATGTCTTTAGAGTCTGTCACTTGGTAGTAATAATCTACAAAGCATGAATTATTAAATGATTACAGCCTGGATTTGTATTAGGGCTGTTATCAGCCATGACACATGCTTCGCTGTGTATGGATTTCCATTAGGAAACTGGGGTACATAAATCATCAGAAGCTCATACTCCTTACATTGCGATTTTGATAACTGAAAATTCCTCTTGTTGACCAGCCATGGTGGACAGTGGTAATGCAAGTCTCCATGGGGCTGAGCTGTGAGGGAAAGTCCTAAGGTCTCCTGGTACCCACAGGGCATGTGTGCCCATCATCCGGGCTGGCTGAGGCTAACTGGGGTTGAGACCCTGCTGGAATGATTCTTAATTATTGTTATTGGAGAGGTTATAAGCCAAGAAATATAAATTGACAGAAGAAACGACATTGCCAGGTTATTCTGTCATTAATTGGGCAGCTGATAGTAAGAGCAAGAATTACAATATGACTCTGACCAATTCTGAGTGTAAATCGAAATGTCCTTACTATGCATATTTTATGTATGTAGTTCCATCTTGCTCTCTCTCTCTCTTTCACTCCTTCTGCCTCCCTCTGTCATAAAAGGAAGAAATAAATTTCTAAAGAAATTCTTGATGTCAAACTATTCAACAGTGGAAAAATGACCACTTAGTTTAGAGAACCAACAACTGGAAAAGAATTATTTAAGTTAATGTCAACCTCTTCTATGGACTACATGAAAATGTTTAAATAATGGAGAACAACCAAATTCAAACATTTTTAAGACTAGCTTTTATTCATTGTGCTTCTCTAATTAATATTTGGGTCATTCGTGAAGTGATTCCAAAAATTACATAGTTCATTTTGCAAACAGCAAAGATCGTTCTACCATTTTAAAATCAAAGGCTTTAAATTGTTGTAGTCTTTGTTTTTTAATTGCCAGGAGGTCCATGTGCTCACCAGAGAGAAAGACAGACAGAGAGAAAGAGGGAGAAAGTACCCATAGCGGGGCATGATTATGTTACAATTCCTTCCCCTCCATTTGTCCATCCTGTGGGGATTTGCGACACGTGCACACATGCACCCTGCATGTTTTTCAAGCTTCCAGGGCTGGAATTTGAGCTGTGGTGGTAGTCCACATGGAATTTGACTCCCATAATCACTAGGCTTTGGGGCCAGCCCACTAGTCTTTTTTGTATAAAGGTCTAAAATCTTACCTTTTCATTATGACAGTACTAGAACTATCACCCAAGATATTTAGTTTAAACCTCTAGAGGACCTAAGTCCTAGACATAGTTTGTTCCACTAAGTGCCACTGCCCTCGGCTAGCCACTGCACCTCCCAGGACCCATGAATTCCATGCTTTGAACAGTCGTTATTTCTCCTTTACCAGCAAAAGTTTAATTCGGATTTTGTATCTTTCTTTCCTTACTAGTCCGATACGTACTTCTGCATGTCGATGCGTTTGCCAATGGATGAGGAAGCCTTTGTGAGTAAGTATTAATTGGATGGTGTGTGTAGGGGGATGGCCGTTGAAGGGAGGGCAGCCACTTTGTGAAATTAGCAGAAGGTTCTCTTGGATGGTTATGAGCGTATTCATCTTTTACTGTCAGTATCTGAAATGCACTCACCATGCCTAATGGAGAAACAAACTAGAGAGCCACTGAGAGACAAGATGGCAAACAGTTTCTGGAGAGAGCCGTGAGTAGCAGTAGTTAAGGAGCTGCATGCAGATGTCAACGGCCGCTGATAGCGTGTGGTCCCATTTGTATGGTATCGGCTTTCTGTCTGCGGCTTGATGCTTAATTCCGCTCCACTCAACAGACTGTTTATTTACCTGCTGGTTCGTGCTATAAATTGACTGCACTTAGGATCAGCAGTGGGAAATGCGAGACTTCACCTCGCAGACAGGTGGAGGAGAGGAAGGGGCGGGAGGAAGGAAGGAAGAAGAAGGAGGCAAGTGGAATGGAGAGAGGGAGGAAGGAAGTGGGGAGAGAAGACAGAATAGCCATCATGTCGTTTATACGAGAGGCTAAGAGGAGCCTTAAATGACATGTCCCTCCCCAGCTGAGCCTTTAAGTCAGACAGGAAAAGTGACAAAGCACCATCTGTTTGCATCTTGGTTATTTAAATTTAAACGTCCCTCATGACAGACTTTCTACTGTTTGGGGGAGAGGTGGGATTGGCAAATTATTCGTGGATTTGTTTTGTGTGTGTGTGTGTGTGTGTGTGTGTCACTTCACTTCTCTGGTCTGAGATGTTGGTTTGGGAGAGAAAGTGATGGTAATGAGAGTTGTGCTTTGGTCCCTTGAAACTAATCTTCAAGTGGGCTGTCTGAAACGGCTATTACGTCAATTGTACAAGGTGTACAGTAGCCTTGGGGCAGTCTAGGATGAATTTTCATGAGGTGTTCCCCATAGGAACATACATTACAGACCTGCAAAGCCAGGGCAATGTGCATTTTTTTTCCCCACACATTTTAGTGCAATCTGACAGCAAATACAACCTAGAACAACACTCTCTAACAACACTCTCTAAACAAAATTTGCTCCGCAGTTAATTCCTAAGAATGAACGGCAGATCATGAGAAGTTGAGTATTGTCCTGCCAATGCTTTGTATAAAATGGTTGGAAGTTACCAAGAAAAAAGTTACACGGGACAGCGCACCCAGATGCTCAATTGTATAACTTTAATAAAAGACAGAAAAATGATTTTAGTTCCTAATTGGAGTGCTTTGAATAACACCAAGTGTGATTTAGAAAATAGATCCATAATTAAAATGTTAATGAGGGACCAGCAGATGGCATAATGGTTACATTGCTGGACTCACACATAGTTGATCACGGTTCGAGTCCTGGACCTGGCAGCTTCAAATTCATGCCAGGCGCATATGCATGGGTGCCCAAAATCCCAAGAGGAGAATGGAAGAGAAGGGACTGTGACATGGGCCATCCCCCCGGTGGGTGATTTCTTGCTTTCTGTCTCTCTACATCTTTCTAACGAGTGCATGCACCTTATAGCAAAAAAACCTCTCTTAAAAAAAAAAAGTTAATAGGAAAGTTTTTCTTTGCTTCATGTCTAGTTGTTTGGCAGCCTAGGAGAAGATAATATTTACTTACAAAAGAAAATTTCCATGAATTTTTTTCCTTAGCACTTTTATAGTTTTTGGTCCAAGTTCAGAGTAGTTTCAATTGCTCCTGTTTCACACGTGCTTTGAGGAGAAGGCCGCCCTTCCCACTGGGTAAACAGGTCAGTCACGTGTCCCAGCAATGCTATGGGCTCACGTGAATGGGTTACTGGTATGTTTCTGGAGGAGTAAATGATCTCAGAACTGGCGACTCTAAGGACTATAAATAGATATCCTGGAATGTGGTATTACTCTCCTTATGTAAAGTGTTTACTTTCACATAATTTAAAATTGAAAGAGACCAGTGAATGTATTCAGTCAAGTTAAATATTCACAGGAAACACAGAGCCAGAGTACACAATGTTTCTGCATTTTTTTGAGGTCGTTTTCATCTAAGATAGAATTATTCTGAGTTCTAAGGCTCTGCAGTGATCTTCTAAGATTAATACATTTATTTTCAGTATTTGTTCCTTTCTTAATTGCTAGAAGAATTGCGTGAATACTGAAGATTTCATTATCTGTTCAAAAGGGTTTTTTCATCCTCGATGTGAGCCCTTTAATGTGCTATGCACATGCGATTTGTGGTTACCATTTGGTAATCCAGCAACGATGGAAGTTTAGGCGAGGCAAATTAGAACTGAAAAATTGGAACTCAAAGAGAAATACCAAACAATAAGTTATAGAAAGGATATGAGAAAAGATTTTGTTTGTATTACCTCATTAATTCTTTCTTTTTTTTAGAGAGAATTATCCATTTTATTTATTATTATTTTCAATTTGATCAGAGAGAGAGAGAGAAAGGGAAAGTGAGAAAGGAAGCCACCACGTCCAGGACTCAACCACAGTCAGCCAGGTGGGAGTCCAGCACCTTTACACATACCACTGCCGGCCCCCGCCTCACTAATTCTCAAGATGACCCTGTAGACTGTCCCATTTCATAGCTAGGAAAACAGGGACAGTGACCTCTGTATCCATGATTTAATCAGACGCTAGGACAATAGTCTATAGGGAGTTCTTGTTTATGTAAGACCACGTCTTCTTCACTGTTGTTTAGGGAAGACCTGACAGATGATCTAAGAGACTGAAAGCTAAGGATAGTCAAGTGATTTTTCAGAAGAGAAAATAGGGGTCAGAGAAGTTAAGGAACCTTCCCAAGCTTTTTATAGGCTCTGTATTAACCTAGTCATATGTTATTTAAATTATGAGGGATCTGGGTGTGTGGGCAGTGTTACAAAGGATGGTTTAGATGTTATCAGGTGAGTAGATGGAGCCGAAATGCAGCGATAGCCCATCTCTGTGTTCCTCACGTCAAACACAATTATTCTCTCTCTGCGTTATCTTCACTCCCTACTGAGAACACGCTTTTCAGTTCTGCCAAAAAGTAAAATAAACTATAAACCATCTTACAAAATAAATCCCAATACACATGAAGATTTCACGGTTTGTCGGAGGGAAGGGCTTGGGTTATCTAGGTTCTAAGTAGGTTCTACGATTGTGCATGGCTTCTCCAGATGCCCAGAGTGAAAGGTTTGCTTGTGAGGTAGCGGGCTTTCCAGTCCAAGGGATGCTGACAACATGGAGGGTGATAGAGGGTGAAACATTAGCCTATTTGCGGATTATCCAAATCCCACATTTCGGGAGGTCTTATCACAAGATTAAATATGGTTGAAAATGAACAGTCATAAAGGCCCATAATACTTTACTCATTCTTTTCTTTTTCTAAAATTATTTTTACAGC